AACTTACCAAAAACCACTTGACAGCTCGTGCACTCGACGGCCTTTCGATCCAAATGCAAAATGGCGGCCTGAAAATCTCGGGCACGCGCAGAGAGCAAAATTTCGACATAGTTTTTGGGTTGAAAAGTCATGCCCCACTTACGACTTCTACTTTTCTCTCTTTCTCCTGCCCTTTTTTTCCCCTCTCCTTGCCTGAAGTTTCTCCTCACTTGCTGGAAATTGAGTAGGCTTCATTTTGGTGTAGAGATTTTTCAGAAACTACTCATTATTTTCAAAGCACATGCTTGGAAAGGTAGGTGGGTAGTGAAAAACGATTTTCGTGCAGATTTTCAGGTCAAAGTGACACGGTTTTTTGGCTATTTCTCCAATCTCCTTCACTCAGTTGCGCTCATTCTGGTATCGTCTGTAAGATATTTTCAACCTGTTAAAGTAGGTGCTCAAATTCGTGCTCCAGGGTTGAAAGTGATGACGTCACAAGGCGTAGAAAGGGTGTGGGTCCCCATGGGCGCATACGGGTGCACTGGACGTCAATGGGTTAATGTGCATTATTGTTTCAGGCCATCATGGGAACTAATAGATCTTTTATTCCTATTTTTTGTTGGCAGCATTCCATGTTATTTTTTTTCCATCACTATGAATTACCAGTAATCCTGAGTCATCAGGCAGATCCTGAAGAGGACCTCTTGGCAGATCCTATTGCTGCCCTCACTGATGAGGTCAATATGCCTGCTATAGATGAACTTGCCAATCATCCTCCACTGGAGAATAATCCACAGCCTGATGTACGGATTAATGAATGTAAGCTGGTATTATTAACAGTGGAATATATCTAAGCTGTATGGCAGTGTTATTCATATGCTAGTAAACATAAAGAAAAAATTGTAAATATTTCACACTTCACAGATGAAAGAGAGGTTCCTCCAAGTATTAACAGCAGAGAAACAAGTCACTCAACTACTGAAGGTTTGTTGTTGAAAGGACTTAACCTCTAAGTGTGAAATGTTTTGGATGAAAGGAGGGACTGGGGTTAAATGTTGAGAAATTCCCTCCCGATAAACACAGTGATCATGTATTATGTGGGGGAAGTTTTTGAAGTATTAATAATAACAGTTTTCACTAAGAGGAAAGGGAAGAGAAATAGGGCAGTGGTAAAAATCTGTGTTATCACTTCAGATTGGGAAAACACAAATAACATCCAAGACTCATTATTATATGGCTGGCAGTGCCCATACGCAGTCTGAAGGGAATCCTGTCATCTGATTGGCTACCTGATTGAACCCATTTTGCCCACTTAAGATTGCAGGCTTTGATCCAAGAAAAAAAAAATTGCATGGAGTGGACTAAAGAAGTTTGTAACTTTTGACCAATGTTGACAATGGAGTCACAAAAGGCAGCAGAAGACTATCAAAAAAAGAAAACTTAAGTAACGCTCATGGGTTTTGTGCTACAAACACTGTTGGCTCTTTTTCACAGCTCTCAAAATAAATTAATGATAAAGCAAAATCTTTTTGCTACATAGTAAACCCTTTAGCTTGTTGGGTTAATTTGGGTGAATACTAGCTGTTTGGGACAATTTGCAGAGATTTTCTGATGCGTAATTGTAGAATAATGTAAACGCCAATTAATAAAGATCATCTCATGATTGTTGACAACCTAGGGCCCATCAACCTCCAAGTACAAACATTTCCACCATTTGTGACATTTTGTGTTGTCTTGAATTATCTACGCCTACGGTAAAAACTGAACGAAAGAAAAACTTGAATTAAAAGCTGATTGGGGTAGAAGAAAATTATAAACCTGATACTCACATTTTCTGTGCAATTAACGGTAAGGAAAAAACAAAAAATGCAACAAGCAGAGCATTTACAATCCCCGACACGAAACTACTCTTAAACCACAACCATGTACTACTGAGCCACATGACCTAATCAATACTGGTTCGCAATTCATTCATTCGGCCGCTAGTTGGCTCAAACACTAGCCTCATTTTTTGGAGTCACAGAAGGTGGCAGAAGACTATCAAAAAAAGAAAACTTAAGCAACTCTCATGGGTTTTTGTGCTACGGACACAGCTGGCTCTTTTTACAGCTCTCAAAATAAATAATTAATGATAAAGCAAAATCTTTTTGCTACATAGTAAACCCTTTATTAACCAAGCTTGTTCGGTTATTATGGGTGAATACTAGCCTTGTTCTTTTTTTGTGTTTTTATGAACCTCAACCTCATGTCAGTCCATAGAAATGCAAAAAAGAACTTGGCCAATATCTAGCCATCTTGACCAGTCAATTACAGCTGAATAATGCAAGGGGCAGTGAAGTTTAATCAATAGCTCATTTTATGACTGCCCATCTCTACTTGTGGATATGCAAAGGCAAGGATTAAGTTATGTGGAGTTTAAAGTGGCAGATCAAGTGAGGATAGCTTTTGTGGGATGATGGCTAATTTTGTGCCACACAAGTTCTATGGAATAGCCCATCAATCAAACTTTGAACTACTGATGGTTCCCTTTTAACAAATTACTCATTTTTAGGGCAAAGTAAACAATAATTATTATATTGTAAATACTGTATCCACAAGTTCACCATAGTGTCACTTCAAGTATGTAGTTATGATCTCAAAGCTCTATTTGTAATTAAGAGATATGTTAATTTTTTTGTGCTTTGTCTCTAACCAGAAGGAGCTGTTCCAGTCAATTCATCATTAACAAGAAGACACTGGGCAGGTGCAGGCAATACAGGGGATGATACTGAAAGTTATCAGGGACACCACACATGGCCACAGCAATATGAAGGAAGTGCCAGAACATCAACAGCCCAAAGCTCATCTTGAATGAAAATTGAGAAAAAGGTGCAGAGATGACTGGCTTAATTTGTAATTGATGGAAAAAAATCGTATCCTGAACATTTCTTTGTTTCAAAGCAAGTGCAAAGGGGGGGGGGGGGTTATTGACAGAGATAACACACCTTAATTCCCCTATTCTTCTATTTGTTTCATACTGCATAACATACCTCGTAGGAAACAAATCAGGGATACCTATCTTGGAGGGAAAAATGCTGGGATGCCTTCCTTATAGGAAATATTTCTAGGCTGCAACAACTTTATTATAAACTGTTGGTAGTAACTTAACATCTTTGTTCCAACACTTATCATCTTTGTATTTTTCCAGTCTTGCAGTCCCTTTTACTGAGGAAGTCATAATCCTGCAGAAGATGCCCCTCTGTCCATCATTAATTAATGAATGACAACTGTGACAGTTTGAAAATTTGATTTAATTAAATGTCAATCATTAGTCATGTGAAAACTGAGATGTATTCACCAGGATCATCAACCCAACATTATGATTTCAGTATACACAATGATCTTCCAATTAGTGTTTGACATGCATGTCAAATGCTTCCTATTTGATGTATAGTACAATTTAAGTTGAATACAATATTGTCTTGACTATCCAAGAAGCAATATAATGCTGGTGTACTGTTTGCTTTTAGTGGCTAACCATCAAGATATTACTATTCAACAAAATTTCAAATCTTATTGGCCACCATTTATAGGGGAACTCGATGAAACAAATCCCACTGAAGCAGACACTGGGACAGCAAATAGTATTTACTAAGCTAATGGTAATTAATTTTATGGAGGTGAATCCTGATGTAATGTAATTATGCTTTGTACCCTATCATCAGTTTGCATATTCTCCATGCTCTTCCTCAGACATTTTCTGAAGTGCCGACAAGGGAAGTTTGTTTAGAAATGAAGAAATTCTTTAGTTAGTGATCATTTCCTTTACTCTCATGACATTTATATGTGATCCAGGGGTGATATTGCAAGGAGAAATTAGATGCTAGTAGTCTTAAGGGTCAGAGGATTAAGGTGGCATTTTGTTACAGTGGATTTTCTTTAGTTAATGGTCCACAACATCAATGTGATATTGAATTGCGCTGTACCTTTCACCCTCTGATTGGCCAGTTAGATATGAATTTGATAATTCCTTGTCTGACAGTAATCAACCTCATTCCTAGGGTCCCATCTTCCCTATCTTCACTAAGATGAAAAGACAGCTTGGCATCTGGATGTGGGTGCATCCTAGTGAAAGAGTCAACCAGGAAAAACTCTTTCTTTCAATCAGTCTTTAAATGTTGAGGTCAAGTCGCTGGTAGAACTTTGAAGTTGCTCAATATGATATTTACACACTCAAACAAACAAGCGAGACTCAAGTGGTATTAATACTGAGCAAATTCCTAACTATATAACCTATAAAATGATCTCTTAATTTACTTTCTTTATTAACTGCAGTAGTTAAAGAATTCAGGGGGGGAGGGGGAGTTTTCTAATGGAACTTAAGCAGCAAACATGGTTATTTAAGTATCACAAAATGCTTCCAGTGAGTGGGAGCATTAGTGAAACTTATAACATTAAACATTGATTGTACAGAATATTGTAGAAGTAAACTTTGTGATGGGGATGATTGTAATATGTTGTGAAACTTAATTGAACATCTGTTGAAGAGATGCTATATACACAGTATTTTTGCTGTTCCTGTATTTTTGAAGTTGATTGGGCAGGCACTTGTACAAAGGCAGTGGTTGATATTAGCATGTCCCAAGAAGCTTGTATTATAATAAAGACTTGAAGTTTATTTAGATTACTGTAATGATGCAGGTATGTGGGGCAACTGTTGTTATCAAGATCTCTTAAAAAAATTAATAAGGTAAATGGTTTGAACTGTTGGGTAACATTATAGTATAATCTGATCTTCCACCTGAGAGCAGTCCTGTTTTTGATAGCAACTGAGGTTCTAACAACTTTAAACTTAGATTTCACTGTGCTGTTGACTTCCAAAAAAGTTATTGATGAGAAGCCTTAGACACCACCAAAAAGAAGAGCCCTTTTCAGGCCTAGCTCAATGCATATGATGAGATGACACAATAAAGTAAAACAAAATTAACCAAACACCAATGAAGTTAAGGGAGTATTTAGTGGTCTAGAATTTTTTCCTTTTTTTTTTTTGTTTTCAGCAAAGACTGAGATAAAAATTCTCATTCTTCAAAAAACCATTCACAGTCATTTCTACATTTGAATTCTATTTAATTTAATACTGGTACAGAAATGGTGAGACTTCTGATGAGTAGACAAACACTTGTGACAGGTTATCCAGTTCATATGTTCGTGAAGAAAGACAATCAACTATCTGCAATCCTCCAACACTCTGAAAAGAAAAGAAAATATAATTTTATTTCTACTGGGTTTGAGCTTGTGGAGAGTTACTGATAAAAACAATTGCATTCAGAAACCAGAATTGGCATGAATTTAGAAGAGGCATCAAAAGTCTCTCAAGTTGTTATAGGGTGAACATGTTATGGTTATGGAATTTCCTTTTACATAATACATTAACTTACTTGCAATCCAGCAGCAAGTGGAATGAGATTAAGTTGCAGTTCCACTGAATTTCCAGGGGGAAGAAGACCCAGACTCTAAAGATTTATTGCAAATATAAACACAGCTGAAATATTGCCACTGCCAGAATGAAACTAACTGTATAAGGTGTCTGTTGTGATGTTCAGTTGTAAGACAAAACAGCATAAAACATACTTAATCTGTATAATATACATGATTTATAACCCTGTGAACTTATCACAAACTCTGGTTGGAATCAAAAGGCAACCTCCTTACTTACATAACATTACCATGATAATTATTTAATTACACCTGGCCTGTACCTTGCCTGAAGTTCCCCACCACATTAGTCCACCATCTTTACTTTTTGTCATAAAAAGTTTGAGATCCATCTTCCTTTCACTAAGTAGCAAAGAAACCACCAAATGTTACAATAAAATAAGCATTCCTCACGCCAACTTGTAAAATGTGTTAATCTCTGTTGAAGACCTTACCATGTATTTCTTAGTGCAAGTTTGACTGGAAACCTTTGTTCCACTAACACTGCATCTGGGATTTGGACTACACTCATTTTGATATCTAACACTGGAGGAGCCTACAATAGGACAAGATGAATTAATCTCTTGCCTTATCTTATAACATACATTCTCGATGAAAGAGAAGATCTAATGCATTTTGGTTATTTAAAAAAGAATAGAATCTTTCTGGGGTAATCTTTCAAATTAGCTATAGTTGTGCCAATTCCTTTCTTCAGTGTTACCCCCTATACATGGAAACAACGAATTCTTTGAGTTCTCAGCAATAACTTTTCTTTATAGAGTGCCCTCCCTCTATTTAAGCTTAGATGTGATACACCCACCACTCGCTGAAGTTGACTAGTTTGCAGTCTTCCTCTTTCTCCAAAAGCTGTTCTCCACACAATATCCAACTTGCCAACAACATTAGCTACCTTCAACAAAGGATGCCATTAATAATCTCAATCTATTTGTCAACAAAAATCTGTAGCTTAGAATATCACTTCACTGCAATAAACGCATTCAAATCATGTTGTATACCTTGATGTTTTTGCTCGTGTTTGCCACTGGTGCCAGCCGGTACAGATACTGTCTGGTATCATTTGGGTTCATGTAAGAGCCCTGACCAAATATACTCTCTGTTACACTATCCTCCCTAACGTGGGAGAAAACAAGCTCTTAACATTAGCATCAATGTATTGCAATCAACTGTTAGATTCACAAAACATTTTAACAAAACTCAGACAAGCTGATTCAGAGTGCCATGCCGCAAGGATATACAGTACTGTATGACAACACTCACCCATTACCATCCCTTCGTTTAGGATCAATTATAATAGAATTAAGATCTGTAACTGAGTATGTTGCTGATGGTTCTAGTTTGACAGACTCCATAACCATTGGACTCGATGTTATGTTTTGTACTTGAGCCTCAAGGAATACTTCATCACCCTTAGAAAAATCAAGCATTAACAGTCAGTCAAAACATGCGTGTTGTTAGAAACTCAACATGCACATTGAATGATTTTTAGTATCTTTCCTAACATTGCTTACCGTACCATAGCATTGTAAAATTTTGTTTTCACATCAAGAGGTTTGAGGACCTGGGGAAACAAAACATTTAAGTGGCTGGTTGTTTTTCAAACAGAAGCACAAAATACTTTCTGACAATTTTTTAAGGCATAACATACATCTACTTGTTAAAAGTACCAAATAAATCCTGATCAACAGTTGGTGCCCCAGGTACAATGAACAGAGGTTTAGAATAACTACGCCATAAACACTTGATGATTATGTAATTTGGACTGATAAATTTACATTTTAACACAGGATGTACATGCATTGATATCAAGTTAAATCACCTGGAATTTAAAGAATTTCCTGAAGTACATCTTCTCTCCTGTTAAAGATGCATAACTTACAGCACACACAAGGCTGTGAAAATAAACCAACAACATTACATGTAAGAATCATTACTTTACTTGTCTTGCTAATTTCTATGGGATAACAGTAAAAGATTGTGAGGAAAGAGAACTAAATGGTATCAGACAACTCACATATGTGTCCCAAGTTCTTTCACTTCATGTTGAATAACCTGATCAAAACTCTCCTCAGGATCCAGTTTAGACACTGGCATGTTAGCTGTCCCTGATAAAGCCAATCTCTGAGATGATGTTTGAAGGTCAGTCTGAAATGGATTATTTCAAACTATCAAAGATTTTCTGATTTTCACTAAATTATACTCTAATGAAATCAAGACACACCAACAATGTTTAGGGGAAAGAGTATGCTGCTGTTGGAGCTTGACAACTGTCTCTACCTGATTATTTAAATCTGCAATGTTTTTCCAGGTGTTTGTAAATCTCCCTATTCACTAATACTAATTCTGTCTGATTACATCTGTCTTGCTTGCCCTCTGTTTGTTTCATTGATCCATTTGGTGGGATGCTGGCCTGGGTCAAGTTCTGCTTGGATGTCTAAGGGCTAATGGCTCGCCTCTCTCTCTCTCTAATAGCTAGCCTCTCAGCTTATCTGTCTGTCTATCTTTTAGACTGTCTAAAGGCACTAAAGTCCATCTGAATGCCTACCAATCTGTCAGTCAGACTTCCAGCGTCTACCGTTTTGTCCATAAAGTACATTATCAATAGAAGTACTACTGTTCATTAGAAACCAGGGTTATACCTTAATCACAATGTCTTTGACTGGTTGGTTACTGTCATTATGAACACTGACATAACTTGAAAACACTTCACCAAGGAAAATATTTCTATAAAGCAAAACAGACAGACGTTACAAAATTCACTCACTCTCGTCGAAGGAGAAGTTTATTCCTCATTGGATATTTAGTTCTTTACTTACATACCTCCAAAAGATGACCTGTCCAGAGACTGACAGTGTGTCAGAAACAAATGGAAATGGATTTGATGTCCATTGTTAAAACTCACCCAAACGTCTGAGGCAAGACAAACAATTCACCCAAAGCGAATTTACTGAGTCCTTTGACTGATGTGATGTCAGCTGTGTGTGCATCCTCTAAAGTATTCCCTGATGAAAAACATCATACATAATGATCTAACTTACGTTCTCCCTGAAGATCTCTGAGGATTTTACCGAGTAGGTAGACATCTTTGATATATAATTTAATCAATTTAAATCAAATGCCAAACCTGGTAAATCTTGAGACTCGTTTGTCACGGGAACACTTGTGTACAACGATGGTCTTGTCAGCCTCATTACTAGACATCGAAAACAAACCAAACAAAACTAACCGCACAGAATCATAAAAGGAGATTTGGGAAAGAACCCAGAACAATAGGACAAAATAGTGACAATATCTACCCTTTAAAGTGAGCAAGTGCTCCCTTTCTCTCAATCCGGTGTCCATTCTACTTCTTCTGTCTCTTTCTCTTTGTTTTGATTTAGGGTGACATTTCAGCGGTGTAAATATCAGCTATATGCGTGAAACAGGTGATGAGCGTGTGGTATTTTGTTTCTCCGCTGTTCATTTGTGGCGCTGTGGCTCCTAAAGAGCTAAAGAGACTATATCTGTCATGTAATGATACACCGTAGTCTCCCTCAGTCTTTAGATCATGTTTATAGTCTCCCTACTTTTCTTATTGGTGTCAATAAGCCATAAAGTGTCCCCAAGTAATTAATTTATTGGGAATTGGCCTCCCTTGGATCGGTACTTTATTCACGGACAGTGTTCAGTGTGGCAGCCGCGTGAAGTAAGGTGGGAAATAAAGGAGGTAAACACAACATGTGCAGCTATCTTCGACTATAAAACGAGCGTATTATTTCACATTCAACTAGAAAAAAGATGGAAGCTTCTCCAGATGAAGTATCGAAAACAAAAAGTCGTCCAAATGTGGGTATACATCTATTTAAATTTATTGTTTGATAATATATAGCTGCAAAATGAAGGACGAGGAAAAGAAAACCAGCTGACGATCCAAAATACATTCATTTGAGCGTGGATGTGTTCTTCCCTGGAAAAAAAAAAAAGGGAAACTGCGAATTAGGAGAATTAGTAATTTTAAGATGACCTGTAAGTTCCCTTTCTAGCACAGCATTGTTTCTGCCTACTTCATTTTAATTTCAATGTTGTCTGTAAAGTTACCAGCAATCAATATGGCAAACATCAGTGTAAGTCTAGTTCTGGGATGAAGAAATCCGGAAAAAGCCACATTAACCCAGTCATGACTTTTGGCATTTTTCTCAAGCTTCAATAGAAAAATGAATAAAGGGGTTAAGTTTCTAAAAAAACTGTGGTGCTGCATCAGTGGGAATAACAAGGTGATCTGGTTATATCAGCTAAGTTAATTGAAAATTGAACATGGTAAAGAGTTTAAAAAGCTGATGTTTTGGGCGTTAGCCCTCATCAGAGGAAATAGAGGAAGTGTGGGTTGTGTGTGGGTTTATATGCAGAAAGTGGAGTTATTTTGTGGGTACATGGTGACGAGAAAAACATGAATAAATTAGTAGAATGAAAAGCGTTCATTGATACCTATGGGGTTAAGAGTGCTGATTTGAAAGATAAAATTTTGTTCAAGAGTTTTGTGGCTTTCCAAGCTGCCTATATGTAAGGAAAAGGCTGCAGATTGTCATGTGCTGCTGTGAATGATTTAGGTAGATTTAAGTGTCTAGTGACTGGTTTTGATGCATCCTTGTGATTCCTTTCTATGTCACAAAGGTGTTCTTGGAATCGGTCACTTAGTCGTCTTCCTGTTTCTCCAATGTATATCTTTTTGCAGTAAGTGCAAGTTATGCCATAGATGACGTTGGCGGAGGTGCAAATGAAGTGATCAGTGATCTTAATGAATCGTTTGGATCCAAATATTTTCTCAGTGTAGCTCCACTTTCTGTTTATAAACCCACACACAACCCACAATTCCTCCATTCACTCTGACAAAGGGGTAACACCCGAAATGTCAGCTTTTTAAACTCTTTACCGTGGCCAATTTACAATTTCACTTAGTTGATATAACCAAATTACTTCTTTAGAAAAAGACTCATTGCAAACATGCACTACAATGTCATTGTATGCATGGACAAACTTCTGGGATTTCCAACTGCACAATTGTTTTTCACTCAAGTGTGGGTGAATAATGGTAAAGTGGATATTTACCAAGCTAAAATTATAAAGTGGCAAGCGTAATATTTACTCTATTTCACATGTAGGTGAATATTTATAATTGAGATAAATATATTTTCGCAGCTAGTCACCCAGGTAAAAAGTCATCTGGGATTTAGGTGGGATTCCGCCAATCCCACCCAGGAACCCCAGGTGGGAATGGTGAGATCCCACCATTCCCTCCTGGGAATCAAAGATGAGCCCCACCTGGGATCCCACTTTAAATGTGAGATTTTCACTTCCCCTGCAGGATCCCAGGTGGTATTGGTGGGATCCTGCCATTCCCTCAAGGGAATCAGACAATTCCACCTGGGATCCTGCCTTTAATGCATTTTCACGTCCCACCCAGGATCCCAGGTGGGATTGGTGGGATCCCACCATTCCTTCACTACACTTGCTCTTCCAGAGTTTTTATTAATAATATGTACAGTTTTTATTAATAATATGTACTTATTGACTTAGTGGAAGGGCCAGACAGGAAAATATTTGGCTCAATTGAAGGTCATGATCTGCAGACTGAGGGAAGCAAGGTCTGTGCATCAGAAATGAGAACCAAATATTTTCCCCTCTGGCCTGACCTAACTCAGTCAATATTAGCCCTTACTTATATGAGTACCTAGTGTGGGAAATTTCAAAACATTTTTCTTACTAAATAGGACATAACAGACCGGTGTGGGCGGGAAAAGGACAAAAGGAATCCTGCGATTAAAACTTTTCCTCTACTTTTTAGTTTTAACAAGAAACTCATGATAATATTGATCAAAAAACAAGACTTGTTTTCCTCAATTCTTTCATTGCTGTCACTCTTTTTTTGCAACAACAGCAAAGAGTGTTTTTTTTTGTTGTTGTTTCATTTTCTTCTTTTTGCAACAAGGCTGTACAAGTGCACTGGCTCCTTTCAAACTGTCCAACCCTACACATATATGTCAGCTTTCACTAAGGTTTTGTATGGGATTGCATGAGTAGGGCCTGACAGGTCATTTGTTAAATATAAGTAATGGTAATAGGACTGGCTGGAGAGTGGGAGTTTGATTGTTTATTGTGAGTATGGTATAGATCAAATTGGATGACACAATTGAACAAATTACCAATAAATCAAAACTGCATCAAAATTTTTAGAAACAAATTAACCATTGGTTATGTGTTTTCATAAAAAAACAAACAAACAAACAAACAAACTAAGCAAAGCATGAGGCATACTGTCCAAGTACGCGGGCATGACACAAACACTATCCACAAGTATGATGCTTATGCTCTCCTATTAGTGCTCAGATCAGGCTGGTGATAACCAATTACATTTCAAAAATTTTGTAATGGAGTAGGAGTGGGATATTTTTAACACTGCTGTTTATCAATTTAAGGTGTTAGAGTGTCGAGTTTGTGAAGATGTATTCACCCTTCAAGGTGACAAAGTTCCAAGGTTATTATTATGTGGACACACTGTCTGTCATGACTGTTTGACTCGACTACCAGTCCTTGGGCACAAACTTCACTGTCCCTTTGACAGGCAGTCAACTGAACTTGGCGACTCTGGAGTCTGGGGTCTTAAGAAAAACTTTGCTTTGTTGGAACTGTTGGAACGACTTCAAGTGTTACAAGAACCATCAGCAATAAGTGACAATGAGAGTAGAGATGACGCTGTTAGATGTGATGAAAATGAAGAACACATTGCCAACATATACTGTACTGTCTGTGAAACTAACTTGTGTAGTGAATGTGCAGAGGGTACTCACTCCACCAAAACTCTTGTGAAGCACAGAAGAATTCCTATTTCTGAGAGACCCAAAGAAAAGCCAAAATGTGCACAACATTCAACTCATGTCATAGAGTTCACATGTTTAGAGGAAGAATGTCAAGATAACTCATTGATGTGCTTTGTGTGTCGAGATTATGGTAAACATCAGGGACATAAGCATACTTTACTTGAGAACGAAGCAGAGAACATGCGTGCCTCTGTGACCAAAGTCATACAGCAAGTTAGAACCTTTACTGATGAAGTTGATGGGTCAGCTGCAAGACTGTCTTCAGTTATTGAAGCAATTGAAGGTTTGTTGCACAAGGCTGTTGAATATGTTTTAGGTTTTAAAATTTTGGTTGGATGCATAAGGCTATTGGTTCTAAATAACCTATACACACTGCAATATTGATATCATTGTTACTTAATGCCCTTGTTGTGAAAGTGTTTGTGAAGCAGTTACAATGTTGTCAAGTCAGACCTTCCCTTGCTCTTTCAATATGGTAAGGAAGATTTCTCCCATATGATCATACTCACCTTATATAAAAAGTAAATAGTAGTAAAGTCTGTTTACGAGTCTAGTGGCCCATTAGGCCGGTGCTTAACTCCGGTTTTCTGTAGCATAAGCAACTAGGAGTATTTCCACTCCCCCCTGGATGGGATGCTAGTCCATCGCAGGGTTACTCCCCAGCATTAAATTGCTGGTACCCATTTATACACCTGGGTGAAGAGAGGCACTGCGAGAGTAAAGTGTCTTACCTAAGAACACAACTCAATGTCCCGGCCGGGGCTCGAACCCGGACCACTCGATCCGGAGTCGAGTGCACTAACCATGAGGCCACTGCGCCTCCACATGACCTTATGTGAAAGTGACTTAAAAATGTTGAAAATTGTCATTTCCCATAAATTACAGGTGGTGTTTTAATGCAGGAGGATGAACGAGGAAACCTTGTTGCACATCATGTTGCTGGAACTGCAGAAGATGCAAGAAGTAAAGTGCGAGCATATTTTGATGATCTTCGAGAAACAGTCAACAGACAAGAAGAGGCTGGACTAGCTGTTGTTAATAATTATGTGAGAGAGAAACTATTATCACTCAGACAACAACAGGAAGACATGGCTGTTTTGATGTCGCAAGTAACATCAGTCTGTGTAGAGTGTGACAGAGCACTCAAGAGGAGTGATGCTGAGGTAATGTTATTATTTTACAAATTTACTATCTTAATTCAGGAGTTCAACTGTTGCCCTGCATTAGTTCTTAAACCTACGACTTGTAATAACTTCTGCACATGGTACATAACAAAACCTGTTGTACATAACCACACCTGTGAAACACTTGCATTGTCCTAAGTCTTTGTAAACTGCTCAGAGTATTTCTAGTGTGTATGTATCATGTAAAAAGTCTAAGCATTCAAGGTTGACTTTGCATCAGGATCTTGGGGAGCAACATCTGACCTCGGGTTATAAAACTATACAGCCTGATCTCTGTAATATACTATACTCCCTGCTTACAAAATCAATCATGTTCCATACTAGTTCAATTAAATGCTTTACATGTTGAGTGGCTGACGTTTGATACAAATTTTTTTCTTTGGCGTGAAATTTTTTAAACCTATTTTGGTGTTAATATTTCTTTCTGTTTTTTTTTTTTTTTTTTTTTTTTTTCTATTGATTTGTATTTGTTTGTTGGTTGGTTGGTTGTTTGTTTGTTTTTTTTTTTTTTTACATAATTCCCTCATCTGGAATGAAGGAAAATAAAACCATGTTTGTTTGAGAAAATTTTAAAGAGGAAAATTTGAACCACATAATTAGCTGAGGAAACAAAATTCACCTTAGCAAAATAAAGGAATGTTTGGTTTTCAAAGTAGCTCAGAGGTGAAAGACATAATAATAATAATAATAATAATAATAATAATAATAATGGTTTATTCACAGTGTATCCACATAAAAGGTGTGGCTCTTCATCTGTGAAGGCCTACGATACTAATATTTAATATTAAAACTAAATTATAATGACTAACTAAATTGTAATAAAAACTATACATGAAAGTAAATATGTAGAATATATTGGTTGGTGGTGGTGGTTGTTTCCATAATTATCTTTACAAGGAAGACAAAGCGCATGCCTTTAAGAATGCCTTGCAGAGCCTGAAGTATTCTTTAAAGTGTTCAATTCCTTGTACTTGCTGGCAATTCGTTAAAAATCATGGCTGCTGAATGCGGAAAGGTGCCTTGTACAAATGGAACATAAAGCCTTGGAGCAACACTGGAACGGAGATGCCTAACAGGTTTAATGACTTTCAAATTTAAATGGGAGGGCCAGTTATCAGAATACAGTGCTTTAAAAATAGTCTTTAGTAGCGAGTAGTCCCTTAGCTCCAGGATAGCTTACAGGACATGTAAAGATATAAACATTTCACTCATTAAGTAACAATTTATATCAATCTTTGAAGGTAATAGAAGCCAGAAACAGTATCCATAGTCTTTTGGAAACAGTACAAGACCAGCAGGAGCAGTTCACCAACATTGCTAGCCTCTGTGACACATATGCTGCCATCCCTGTTGCCTTTACAAAAGACAATAGGGTCCACATAGGCCCAAAAATGGAGATGAGAGTAGTCGCACTGGGACTTGATGGAGCTGGAAAGACTTCAATTTTATTTAAAATGAAGCATGACGAGTTTGTCTCACCCATCACAACAATTGGTAGTTGTTTTATACTTTAACATATTTTAAAGAACTAGTTTGGGATGAAGAGGGAATGTCTCAAAAAGTTATATTTGTGACCCTTTTCGTTTTGATTTTCTTTTTTTTGTGGATTAGAAGATTCTTTCTTGTATGTATTGCACAGTTTCTCCTCTCACTCTCTCTTTGATAGTTTTGCAGTCAACAAGCCATTAGTTGTTTAGCTAAAAGTTTTAGGTGTTTCACCATTCAAGGCAATGAGTTCTCTTACTACTGTAGCATTGCAGTGGCCTATTTTTGGGATACAATGTCTTTGAATTATTATAAATTTTTTATTAAATGGCCAGGTTTGCGTTAATTAAATTGTTTACTACCTCGGTGGTGTATGTAGCCCTTGATTCCCAGAAAAATGGAGAAACAAACCTGAACTTTTCCTGTACTTGTTAATAGAGGAAATGTTCCTTTTATTTTTCTTGGTGACTTCTAAAGGGAAAACGTCTGTCAGTTTCATCTGGAATTAGCCTTGCATTACCAAAATAATAGAGACTGGTTGTTTGCCAAAGGGTTTAAGGAAAGTGTATTGTTTGGGGTGAAACTTGGTACAAGCTAAAGTTACAAAATTTTCTACATTTTTGACAGGATTCAACGTGGAGACTGTTGAACACCGTAGCTTAAAGTTTACTCTTTGGGATGTTGGTGGTCTGCAGAAACTCCGTCCACTTTGGAGACATTATTATCTTAACACACAAGGTTAGAATTACCAGAAATGAATGTTGGTATGCACAGACCTATGGCATAAATGCACTTAAGGGCTCAAGTTTGTTATGTACATTTAGTTCCATATTACTATCATATTGATGTTAGTTAACACGTTTATGGTCACATTTACAGCTGCCATTTTGTCCATGTGACAGTCAAAAAAGTTTATTTAAATTTATAACTTTATCTTGTAATTCTGCACCAGTTTACTGAAAGTAAGGGTACTATTGAATACTACATGACTGTATATACTCGAGGCTTTGTCACTAATTTCCTGTACACAGAAATTAATGAGTCGATACACTAGTATTCTATTTCATGCAGGAATAAAATCTAGTTGCTGTTTCTTACTTTTTATTGATTTTTTTTTGTACTTTAATATTTTAGCTGTGATCTTTGTGATTGACAGTAACAATTTAGAGCGTATTGAAGAAGCTCATGAGGAACTTGCAAAATTAATGGCGGAGAAAAGACTGAAAGATGCTCTGTTGTTGATATATGCTAACAAACAGGTACACATGCTATAATAAGAACAATATCTCTTTATAATAAGTGTTTTTCCTACTGTTATGCTCATGTTCATTGTACATCACTATAAATTAGTAAACAAATTAATTCTAATTATACATATGAATATTGTAAGAGCTCGTGGCAGGTCAGTTTGCAGATTTGGTTCAAATCCAATCCCAATCTCAGTTACCCACCCCCTCGCTCTTTCTACTGAATGAAATAGTGTTTGGTGGTTTTGAATTATTGTCTATGCTACTTACCCTTTGATGGCCAGGTGGACAGTCTCCCCGGAGAGGGAATTTTAGCACTTCCTTTTCTATCCAATGTGTAAGGTACACAGTGGCCCAAATACAGAATTTAGCACATTAGATATATGTTGATACTGAAACATTTAAAACTGGCTTTGAATTGATGATGTTGAAGTGGACAAACAAGTGCTATCTTGCAGGACTTGCCCAGTGCTCTCAGTGTTGATGATCTCACTGAAAAGCTTGCTCTCCATAAGCTGTGTTGTGGAAGAAGCTGGAACATATTTGCCTCTGATGCACATTCTGGCAAAGGCCTACATGAAGGTTTAGACTGGCTTGCAAGACAACTTATGTCCGAGTTTGCACAATGACTGATAGCAGAGGGATTAATGTTTTAAGCATACAGAACATTTGTGAAGAACTGGTGTGCTGGAGTTAAGATCAAAAGTAAAGCTCTAGCCATATCAGGGATAGGAAGACAGGTTAGAGGAAGGTAGCTCAGGTAATAAGGCAGCTAACTTATAATTAGACTGGAAAGGTTAGTTTGCCGGCAAGAAGAGTGACCGAGTGGTTTTGGTGCTGAAATTACAATGTGTTGGTCCACAATCCAAGTACCCCAAATTCTACTCATTAGATTTGTTCCTGGTTGTTATAGAGTTCAACTCCTTGTTTACACTTGTTTTTAGCTGAACTGTCAGTATTCTACCAGTTAAGATATTTAGGAATCTTGTGAATAATAAGGAGTCTTTAGTCTCTTTTATTTTGGCCACCATCAGTAGTTAGGTCCCTTCTATGGTCATTCTTTTTTTTTATTTTAAATTCTCAATCCTGGACTTTGCCATAAAATTTAAAGGTAGGGTAGTTCTGAAAATGTATCGGCACTCTTGGTCTTCATATGTTTCATATGTTTCTGTAAAATCCGAAGTAAAAAATGTTCCTCAGAGAGGCTATAGAGATATCTTTTGGAGAAACTTAACAGTTAGTTTTCAGCCTGATTATTTGACAGTTTTCAGAGGGTAACAAAGCACTTTGGAAGAAAAAAATGAATGTTTCTTTCCAGTTGCAAGATATGTCCTAGTGAAATAAACAAATAAGGCAACTCCACATTGATCCTTTTTGGTAAAAGGCTCATTCCTGGAGAACAATACCAACCTGACGAGGTTGTTTTCTTGTACATCTATACCAATTTTCCTTAAAATATCTCCTATATTAATGGTATTAGCAAGTCAGTGGCTTTCATTCTAATTTTTGATGAACAGGTAGTAGAAAAACCCCTTAGCAGTATCATGGCTGAAGGATGATACTAGAACTGTACTAATATTATTTTCAATATTTATTTCTGTTTCTTTAAGTGAATGTGAGATAAAGTACATTGTATGTCAAATATAATTCAGTGACAAAGCAGAACTAATTAAAAGCAAAACTATTTAAAATGAAGGCAAATACTGTTACTAAAAGAAACTATAAGTAACTATAGTAAGTAACTGTAGTAAGTAACACTGGGCAATTTTTGCATTCTTTATGCAATTTGTACCATGATAATGATACATTGAGCCCAAATTTAGCAGTATTAGATTTGAAACATTGCTTTTTTACAATAACTCAACCCTGAGTAACCTACAGGATGCCTGCCTCGCACAAACTGCATATGAAAACACTATCTTTTTTAACCTCCAGTGAGAAAACATCCCAAAATAGAGGGTTTTTTTTACCCAAATATATAATTATTCATACTTTCTTTGTTCCAAAGAAAACTCTCAGATTGTAATAATAACAACAATCCTACCTACAACTTATATCTCAGGACATTTAATTTCATTACCACTCAACACGTTCCGGAGTGAACTTTTGTTGGTTTTAAATTGTTGCACAATTGTTGCAGAAGTTAAAACCACTTTTAAACATTTTTGTGTGGAAGGTTTTGGTGACTCTACATCAAACAGAGCCAAAGCAGCTATTCAGTCATCAACAGCATCCCTGTGCACAGTGATCAGTATCAGCATGGCTAGGCAAATAATACTGAGAGCCAAAATAAGAACTCCAAACATAATGGTGTGTAGCTTAAATACCTAGAAAAATCAGAGATACACTCTTAAGAGAAATATCCATTGTGCATTGAGTTTATTCATCCTTTTTCACTATCTTTTTGCCTCACTGAGTCTGTTAGTTTCAAATACACGTAATTGACTAACTCACCTTTTCAACATCAATTTCAGTTCTGCTGGCTGAAACTGTAGTGAGTTCAACTTCATCATCTTGAGGTTTAGAAAGCACACAATACTCTTTAACACTTTTTCCTTGTTTGTAAGCCAAGTAGATTTCAAACATCACCACTGCTGCAAGCACTAGCAGATAGACAATCATCACATACACTGCAGAACTTTCCAGGTGGAATGCTGGTAGTACAGAACCCAGGAATATATTTATCACTAGCAAAAAAAATAAGAATCAATTAAGGCAGCTAGTCCATTCATAGAGGGTGTGATCTACAAAGCATCATAACTGTTTGTCCATTTTCAACATAACAAATATTGCAACCATTCATTCCTTCTGGGGTCTAACACAAGATACACCACATATAATGTAAGTAATGTATATGAAAGCCATCCTTGCAGTAATGAACACTACTTAAGCAGTAGTGAAAATAAGGCCTGTACAGATTTTGAACCCATGACCTCTACTGACAATACCAGTGCAGTGCTCTACCAACTGAGCTAACAGTTGGCACTGGGAGCTAGTCATTATATTGGTACATACACTGTATGTGTTAGATTGGTACCTGATAATGCTAACGCAATCAATCCAAAACTTCTATGTGCCCAGTTGAACATCCATCGTCTTAAAAACAAACAAAAAAACAAATCATAGTACAATTAATGAAATAATTGTGGCAAAATGGTTTCTTACAGACTTCAGAGGATTCTAATAGGGCATGAAGAGTGCCAAATTAAAATAGCCTTGCAGTAAATTCCGGGGAAAGTACTCATTCCATTACTATTTACTGCTACCTAGTATACTAATTACCTCAATTAAACATCAAGGGTTAAACCAGAACACATGTAAAGAAAGCTGTACTAATTTTCACACTAGAGAGTAATATCACAAATTACCTTTCTCCATGTGGAGGAGGTCTGAGAGTGGCCACAATTGGCTGTAGGACAGTAATTGACAGTACAATAATGCCAATGACAGGATGAGCACCAGCATCCTGAGTGCAAACAACCGTGCTTTAATTAATCATTTAAAAAGAACACATCATCATGAGAAAGCTTTGATATGAATCATTCCAACAAATAAATGGTGGCACAAGAAGTGAACTCAGCTGGATATAATGACACAATAAAATGTCAGTGGAAAAGATTAAGTTGACTTGCACTAGTTATGGAGGAGAATTCTTGAAGCACTTTAAATTATGTCCTATAAAGGGTACAAATAACAATTAACATGAATATATTATTGTGCTAACTGTTCCACATTTCCTTGCTTTACTCTTTTACTACCTTTTCCACATGAGTTGAATTACTTTTTCTTAGAAAAAAAAAAGAATTTTGCATTTAGTAATCATTATCACAAAACATACCTCAGACCATTCACCAACATAAATGAAGGCTAGAGTTACTCCTATTACAGTTAATAGAACTGTGATAACCATAATGGCACGATGTACCTGAGTGTACAAAAACCATCATTATCAACTGTTCAAATGTTTCCCACGTACTGTTTCTTATATTCTCTGTCAAGTAGCTTGAGTCTTCTTTTTTTCTACTTTGTTCATTCTTCGAAATTTTCCATCCAGATAACAAAATTTTTCCTAAGTGAAGTGTTATTAAATCCTAACAGTAGGCCTCTGATCACATTTCCTCAATGGAAAAAAAAACATAGCTGCAACTTGATGGAACATGGCTTTCTGAAAATCAACTGTTTCTACATCAAATTTTGGTACTTGAAATAAGTGATGGAGCAAAAACGGCACTAATCTATGTATCCTTTCATAGGTTAATATTTAATTTAGAGAATTTGGTTGAATCTCCATGCTTTACTGGGTTTCTCACTCGTATAGCTCCAGTCATTTGTGGCACTTCAATGTCACTCCAAGAGCTTCCTGCTACTCATTACCATCAACTTTTTTTTTTACTGATTTTTTCTGACTTGCATGAAGGCCTTTGCTGAAAAGGAGGGACTGCTTACAGTCTAACTTAGTCTACACTACTGTGACAAACCTGAAACCAGAGCCTCCTGCCACACAGTTCCTTTTCACCCCAGACTGGCTTCATGTATCTTGCTATAAACATCCCTATGGTGGCAAAACCCACCCAGGCAATCACCATCAACACCGCTGTAATCAACATTTAGAACTTGTCAACAATTTTATTGCAACAACTTCTCTGCAGTCTAGCCTGTTGGCAGATAGATCCAAGTAAAATGGCAGTTATCTCAACATTCTCTCTACAAGAGAATTAAGTAGTTGGTATTTGCATATTCCACGAGCGGACAAGAATGGATGCCTGCAACCTTAGTATAACAAAAAGTAATTTTTATTACAAATACTGAAAACAGTTTTAGGTGCAAAAAGAATTTTAAAAAATTACCATGGATTTGAATTAGTGATAAATCATACACTGTTGCCTCAAGGTTTTGAATTTCATTAAGATTCACTGGGCTCATGGAGTGACCTTTCCAGCTGTGTTCTCTGAGGGATCCACCAGGCCCTGTTCATGTTTAAACACAAAACCAAAAGTAATCCTACTCATATTGTGCAATCTGGCATTGCTTTTTCCTTTACACTCTAACATCAGTATGCATATTCTCTATAGTTACTGAGGGAACTGCACTGGCTCCCCATGGAGCAGAGGATTATATTTAAAGTGTTATTTTTTACTTTTAAAGCTTTAAATAATTCATGCACCAGTTATATCAGTGACTTGTTAGAAACTTATAAGACTAAAAGGTCTTTACGATCATCGAGTAGGAACTTGTTAATGATTCCTCACTACAAGTTGAAATCTTATGGTGATCGTGCCTTTTCAACTGTCTCTGCACCTAAGCTGTGGAATGACATTCCTGAAACCATAAAATGTAGAGTAGATCTTGACGCTTTTAAGGTGGCTCTTACTGGTTTTCATCTTTTTGCTTGTTTGTAACTTTGAAAGAATACAACAGAAAGACTGACCAAGGCCAGTTGAACACTTTTACGGGGTTGAATTTCATAATCATTGGTTATCCAAAAATAAGTGTCATTTCGTCACTGGCAATTTCCATGGCAACACTTTCATAGGCTTATTCAGACGCATTTTTTAGCTAGTGGCTTAAATAGTTCGAAAACTAACCCGGTGACCCCCTCTTTTTTTTTCAGTGATTGCTTTTGGCACTTGAAAAGGAAAATGCACAAAGATTTTTAAAAAAATTCTATGAGCGGAATTTCAGAAAAGCTACAAAAAGGGCAATTTTCACACATTGCAAATTTCCTTCCGTAGAATTTTCTAGTTTTTTTTCTGATGATTCCTTTCGACATTATTATCATATTGGAACAATAAAAAGAAGGGGTCACTGGACTTGTTTTCATGCAATAGCTTTC